AACAAAAACAATAACAATAACAATATTTTTTACGTGACCGAAAAAAAACATACACATGTCCGATCCGTGTTGATTTACATTTCGTGTTTGCCACAGCCATAATAATAATAATAATAATAATAATAATAATAATAACGTTAGGATAAACATAAAATATAAGGTCGTGACCGTATGTGTGAGCCAATAATAATAATAATAATAATAATAACAATAATAATTTTTCCTCATTGGTACATTTGCGCCTGCCGAAAATAATATATATTAAAAAAAAAAAGACTTTGATTTTTGTTGTTGTTGTTGTTTTGTCCTACGGATTTATAAACAAAGCAGACGACGACATTTATTACAAAAACAAAACAAAACGAAAAAAATGACCGAAACTCTTTTTGTCATTGTTATTATCGCGTATTATAAAAAATCAAAATATTTTCTTTTTTTTTTTTTTTTTTTTTAGTCTTTTTCATCGCGTAAAAATAATAATGATAATAAGATTTTTAGTTTTTTTAAAAAAGGCGGTGGTTGATTGGCCAATTAATTAATTAATTAATCCCGAAATGAACTTTTCATAATATGTTAAAATTATGAAACAAAAATTATGCGAAATGAATTTTTTCAAAAAAATCGATTTCCGTCATCGTCGTCGTGGCACAAACGAAAGATTTTTTTAACGACGTTTTAATGTTATAAAAATAAAAATAATAATAATAATAATAATAATAATAATAATAATAATAATAATAATAATAATAATAAAACGGACTGTTAATGAGTGGAAGGGCATTAAAGGAAATAAACGATCGACGCATTCATACCCGTATATAAAACGTAAAATAATAATTTCTTTTTTTTTCTTTTAATAACTTTTCGTCAGAGAGAGAGAGAGAGAGAGAGAGAGAGAGAGAGAGAGAGATTTAAAAAGTTTTAAAGCTTTTAACTTAAACGCGTGAATAACTTATAACACACGCACACGCACGCACACACGTAATAATAATAATAATAATAATAATAATACTTATTATTACTTGAAATATTCAACGTCTCGTCTTCGTATGAGAATTTAAAGAAAACGTGCACATTAAATAATAATAATAAAAAGAAAAAAGTTTACGGGTTTTTATTTTTTTCTACTGCCACGTTAAAAAACAAAACAAATAATAATAATAATAATAACGTTTTTTACTTTTTATTTTTTTCGATATCGATTCCTTTTTTATTTTTTAACGAGTTTTTAAATTCGAAAAAAAAAAAAAAAATTTTTTTTTCTTTCATGTTAAGACGAAATTATTATTTTATTTTACCTTCGTTCGATAATCAATAATAATAATAATAATGATAATAATAATAATTCGGGAAATTTTTTTAAAATAGCAACGCGGATATTATTATTATTCGAACATTTATTCCTGAGAAATCGAGTAAAGACCCCGGAAAATTCGGAAAATCGGGGAAAATTCCCGAAAAGCAGAGAGTCGTTTTTGAAATTTATAATAATAATAATAATAATAATAATAATAATAAAATGGTAATTTTTGTTGTTGTTAAAACAAACGCATTTAAACGCGGGTCGAAACAAGAAGTCAGAAAAAAAAAATGGAAAAAACAAATGGAAAACCTGATGAAATAATGTACGAATATGTTGAGTTAAATGAAAAGGGAAAAAAGAAAAAGGGGGAGAGGAAGGGGGAGAGAAGGGAGGGGAGAGGGGGAAAATAAAGAAAAGTAAAAGCACCGAGAAAAGTCATAAATAAAATGTGTCAGACTAAGAAAAAAAAAAAAAAAAATTTATGTAAAAGAAAAGTTTTAATGGCAAAAAAAAAAAAAAAAAAAAAAATAGAATAAAATAAAATAAAATAAAAAAATTTTTTTTTTTTTTGCACTCCAACGTTTGGAATAAAAATTGTAAGAAGAGTAAAAAAACATAAGGGGAAAAACTTTTATTATTATTATTATTATTATTATTATTTTTTCAACTTAATAATAAATAATTATACGCGGTGAAATTTTCGTAAGTTTATGATGAAGGATTTAAAAACGAAAAAAACAATGAAAGAAATAAAAGAAAAACGACGTGGCAGGTGCGACGCATCGAAAATCGTAAAAGTTTTTTAAATAGGTGAATACAAAAGTGCAAGAAAGTGCGAGAGAGAGAGAGAAAAAAACGAGGTCAAAGTTTTCGTTTGTTGTTGTTGTTGTTGTTGTTTCGGAAACGAAATAAATTCGTTATTGAAATAAATTAACCGAAAAAAAAAAAAAAATTATTTTCGTGTCGTGGAATTAGTTAGTTAGTTAACATAAAGAAAAATTATTATTATTATTATTTATTTTACGTAATAATAATAATAATAATAATTAGAGCAATTTGATATTGTAAATTTAATAATTTATAAATGTTTGCATAAAAAGATCTAATTACTATTTAACAACAAAGTCGTAAAAAGGGAAAAATGTCGGAAAATGTCGGAACCAATCACACTGACTGAGTCGATAATGTTAATTTTTTACAATGAGGAAGTTAATTTGAACCCATTACCGAGTTAATTAAATTCCTCTGAAGGGGAAAACGTATGTTGTAAGACTAGCTAACGCGCACGCACACACAAAAATGGATGACGATGATAATAATGTTTTTGCCTTAAGATAAAAGAACGAGAAAAGAAAAGTCGTAAAATAAAATTTTTCTTTTCTTTTTTATAAAAAAATTTTCTGGACCGTGAGAGATATTTAACGCAATTTATTTACTCTTGGGATATAAAAAAAAAAAAAAAAAAAAAATTTATTTTCATTCCTACGAACGGAAACGGAAATTTAAAAAAAAAAAAAAAATTTTATCGCGCATGCGTATAATTTTACACGCACGTATTTAATATAAACGATGATTTTTTAAAAATATTAATCCCGAAACTATCCCATTTTTATTATGACACGCGCACGCATAATAGTTTGTAAAAAAAAAAATTATTTAATTGGGGATCCCCCCGATACTGATGATGATTCTTTATACAAAAAATTCCCTTAAGCATTTCGAATAGAGCAAATAAGTTTTCTAAGTAGAAAAAATCATTCTAGAACGTTCGACCTTTTTTTCCTTTTTAAATGCAACAACAACAACAACAACAACGTACGGTTGAAAATAAATTAATTTTGAAAGCGTAAAAGGTTGAAATTACAAATGGGAATTGTTGAAAAACCTTAAAACCTTATTTTTTGGAAAAACCTTTACCGGAACGCGTACACACCGCTCGTCCCCCCACCCCTCCGTCCTCCCCACTTTCTGAAACGGCAGGTAATGATTTCACGTTTTTTTTTTTTTTTACTTTATTTCTGGTAAAAATTATTTCATTGTTTTCATTATTCGAAAACGTGCATTTTACTATTATTATTATTATTATTGTGAAGTAATCGAAAACTATTTTAACTTTTTACCGGATATTATTATTATTATTATTATACATATAATTATACCTTTGGGTGATTTTGTTATTTAAGGAAATCGATTGTTGTGTTATTAATTACGCGAAATGTACAAAATATTAAATTTCCTTACTTTTATTATTTTAATTTTTTCGAAAAAAAAAAAAAAAAATTTTTTTTACCGTACCTGAAATTGATATTAATCACGTGTTATCGAATGAAAATTAGAAATAATGATTCGAAAAAAAAAAAAAAAATGGCGACGAAACATCATCGAAAATGAAAATTTTTTTCGTAAGCACCACTCAAACAAAAAAAATTTATTACGATCGGGTCAATTTAATTAATTAAATTTTATGTTGGATCTCATTTCGACCACCGCCATGATGATAATAATAATAATAATAATCATCATTATCATTATCATTTATTCAAGCTATCAGATAATTAATAATCGATATCGAATACCCTTGAAAAAAAAATTGAAAACGAAAAATGATGAAAATTTTTTTTTTTTTTTTTTTCCTAACACACGAGAGAAATTTTTTTTTTTTTTTTTTATTTTCGTAATAAATTAAAGAAAATTCCAGTTACGCTACTGATTTATTTCCAGACTCGGATCATGGTCCGTTCGTCTAAAAAAAAAAAAAAAAATGTCTATTTTCGTATTCGTTTAAAGTTCGTCGAACTGTTGTTGTTCCCCCCACAGATCAAAGCTTTTTTTTTTTAAAACTCTTATCAGCCCTTTTGTTTATTTATTGTCACTCTACAACAGCAGAGAGGATTATCGGTCGTTTGAAATGACGACAGGAAAAAAAAAAAAATTATTTTTCTAAACGAAATAATTTTTTGTAAAAGCTCATCGACACCGCGTCATGAGCCGTGTCGGTCATTTATGAAATTTACTAAAAAAAAAATTTATTTACCCCCCTCCCTCCCTCTTTCCCTCCCTACCCCCGACCCCGACTCCTACCACCACCACCGCCATCTTGTTTTTCCGTATCCGATTCGAACAAAAAAAAATTATTTTTTACATATTGTCGAGAGCTTGTTAAATAAACGAATCAAGTAAAAAAAAAAACCGATTGACTTAAAAAATCGATATAAAATTCTATTTCCACGAACATTTCTTAATTCCACTTTAAAAAATTTTAGAAAAAATAAATGATTACAACAACAACAACAACAACTGGAAAAGAATTTAAAAATTTTAACGAAAAAAAAAAAGACGCCATTTTGTTTTAAAAATATAAATAATTGTTTTCCCTCCCCCCCTCCCTAAGTCATTTAAAATCGCGGGCGTTTGTTATTAATTAATTAATTAATTATCATTATTAATTTGTTTTTGTGTTTATTCAGGGAGCACATGCAACCGTTTTTTTGGCAACCGACATCTCCGGATACATTCAAAGAGATTATGCTATTAAAATAATGGATTTGGAACCTGGACCGGGAGACATAGAAAGTCGTTTGGGCATTTACAGGGTAATGAAAAAAAAAAAAACCAAACAAAAAATGGCAAAAACCCAAAAAATTGCACAATTTTACGCGACGACGACGACGACACAATTTTCTAATATATAAATATTTCCTATACGATACAATATGGACGACGATGATGACGTCATTGTTTATTGTTTCGAAACAATAATATTTTTCTATTACTCATAATTACCCGAAGAAAGAAACAAAATCGAAAAAAAACCCGATGGACCTTAAACGATATTAAAAATTTTTATGACTTACCAATTTCCGCCGCCATTTTGTTTCCATTTTTTTTTTTTTTCGGTACATCCAATTCGAAATTCTTTATGATTCAGAATTTATTTATTTATTTATTAACCTTTTGTTTCTAAAATAAAAAAAAAGAAAAAAAAATATGCGTTATTATTGCCAAGAAAAAATCGTAACATTTATTTTTATTAAAAAAAAAAAAATTTTTGCGACGATTTCCCATCATCGTCGCCATTTTGAAAAAAATTTTTTTTTTCTTTCTTTCACGGTTTTAAATTAAAAATTAACCGCAAAAACAAAAAAAAAAAAAACTTTTAAGAGTTTCATCCGTAAAAGATTGTTTTCATTTATACCCATTGTTTTTTTTTTTTTGTGGTTTTCCATAATAATAATAATAATAATAATCTATTTACGGTAAAGGTCGGCAACCTTTTTTATTTTAACGCCAAGTTATTAAAAAAAAAAAAAAAACCTAAATCGAATTCGATTCAATGCGAAAAAAATAATAATAATAATTCTCAGGAAAGCATGCACGCATTCACGCACGCATTCACGCACTCACTCACTCACGAACAAATTTTGGTAATTATTTACGCGTACCACAATACTCTAGAGGTTCATAACATGAAATAATTTACGGGTATAATTTATTTTAATGTCGGGTTAAAAGTAAATTTAACAAACGGAAGAAATATTATAACAACAACAACAAACGTTCGACTGGAATTTCGTGTTTTCCCCCTCCCCCCCTTCCCCCTCACTCACTCACTCACTCACTCACTCACTGCAAACCTTTTTTTAAATATAAATTTTTTTTTGGATAATATTATTCAGGTTCGAAGTAGAGAAGTACGTCTGAGTCAGGTTTTGAGAGAAGTCGACATACACGGTTTGATGAATCATTCGAACGTCGTTCAATTGGAATCCTATTTCCAAGATCGTACAAAATTTTACATGGTTTTAGAACATTGCGAATTGAACACTCTGGCTTCCCTATTACGATATCGCGGAAGATTAGAAGAAAACGAAACTAGGAAATTATTAAAACAATTATTAGACGGTCTCAAACACATACACGATCGCGGAATCATACACAGAGATTTGAAACCTGCTAACATATACCTAACTCAGGATTACACGTTGAAAATCGGCGATTTCGGTTTGGCGGATAGAATACGTAGTAAAAACAAAGGGATATGCGGAACCCCGAATTACATAAGTCCGGAGGTAAGGGGATCGATTATTAATAATGGATTAGAATGAGGGATATGACACTTAATCGTCACGTTATGTCACGTTTAAGGTTCTCATGGAACAAGGTTACACGACTGCTGTCGACGTGTGGGCTGTGGGTTGCATAGCTTATAGCATGGTATGCGGTAGGCCACCTTTCGAAGCCGAAACTCCGGCTGCCACTTATGATCTCATTCGAGCACATCATTATTCAGCAATTCCGTCTTCTCAGGTAAGTTATTACACGTTTCGTAAAATTTATTTTTTAAATAAATAATATTTCGAGAGAGAAGAAATCAATGATGCCAACGTGATAAATCAAAAAAAAAAAAAAAAAACATCATATTAATCACGTGAGATTTTATTATCGATCGCACATTAAAGGTCATTTATTTTTTATTCCATATCTTGTCGCACGATGAATTATGACGGAGGGGGCCGCAGGCAGGGAGGGAGGGAGTGGGGGAAGAAAAATCTTATTAATCACCAACCAAATAATAATAATAATGTAAAAAAAGAAAGTGACAAAAAGTACAAAATAACACTCACACACTTACAATACGTTTTATTGTGAATTTTTTTTTTTTTATCTTTTGACACGAAAATTTTTAATAACCTTAAACCTTTTTAAAAATGTCAAAATGTTTTTCACATAAAACGATCAAATTAATTATTTTTTTTTTTTTAATTAATAATAATAAAGTTTGGTTTGTAACAAATGGCGGGAGTAGGGAGGGGGGAGGGAAATTCAAACGATAATAACAAACGGATAACAATGCAGACAAACACATACAAACATACACAGAAAACGCAGGTTGTGTGTTAATGGAAACAAATAAAAGTTTTTAAATGGAGTCTTATCGAAAGTAAACTCACGTACACGTGTAAATAGAAATAATTTATAACAGCTCCTGTCGTAATTAACTACTGTTATATATATATATTTCGTTTGTGACCTCATTTACTTTTTTTTTTCAAAGAAAGATTTTTTTTTTTTTTTGTTCTTTTAAAATGTTAAACGTTTTAAACGGTGAAAGATTTAAATTTAAAAAAAAACGACAGAGAGAGATCACGAAGAATTAATTTTTTTTTTTTTTTTTTTATCTTTTCCAATTAACACTTTAAATTTTGTAACGGAAAAATTAGTGAAATAGGTTACGGTTAAAATTGGTTTTATCTCTCTCTCTCTCTCGCTCTCTTTTTTTATTGTTCACCTAAAAACGAACAAACGAATGAACAAACGAACGAATGGGTAAATTAGTACGAATGAAAATTTATTATTATTATTATTATTTAAGGCTGGTGCGGCTCTGAGGCATTTAATTAGTTGGATGCTTGCATTTCAACCCGAGGATAGACCGTCCATTCCTTTCATACAAAATCACGTTTGGATGAGGAGAAATAGAGAAATCATTTGCTCAACGTGGTCGAGGTGTCACAAGAAAAGAAAAGAAAGCATGGAAAAAGCTCCGATTGCGGAAATAAGTTGCGAAACGACAATGAGACTAAGCGAAAATTCAGACGATGAGGTTACCTTAACAACAAAAATGAAAATAATAATAATAATAATAAAAGTTATCCCAAATCATTTTCAGTCCGTTTTTTTTTTTTTTTTTATACAGGAATCTGATAGAGATAAAGATGACGTGACTGAAAATCGTAAAGAATTTTCTTTTTGGAGAAATCTATTGGAAAAAGCAAAATCTCATACGAAATCTTTAACTTACGAAGACGTCAACAACAGACCCGTTTTTCATCATTTAAGGAGCAGAGTGTATTTTGCAATGAGTTCGAAAAAGAGAATGCCTATAAAAAAAGGAGTTGAAGAGGTTCTCAAAGGGAATCCGGCACCGAAAAATAATCAAATTTCTGGTTAAGTCAAATTAAATTAATTTTTTTTTTATTCTCAAAACCGACAAAGAAGTTTGAAAAGTTCCGGAGGAGGAGGAGGTCGGGAAGCGAAATGAATGAATGAATGAAAAACTTTTTTTTTCTCTCTCTCTCTCGTCTTGATAAGGCAATTGTTAGTGATACAATAACATGAGTTATAAAACCCTGATACGTGACGTCATTTCTTTCTATCTTTTTTCCCCCCGTTTGTTGTTTTTAATATTAATATTACAAGCATAAAGAAAAAAATCGGTATTGTTAATTTTTGTAAAAATTTAAGACAGAAACAACAACGACAGGACCGAATCACGAAAATTAATTAAAATTTTTTTTTTTTTTTATTTACAGACACATCCGAAGTGTTTTATCCAGTTTTCATATCTAAATGGATAGATTACAGTAATAAATACGGATTTGGATATCAAATGTCGGATGGTACGACGGGTGTTTTTTTCAACGACTCTTCACAAATTAGTTTAGACGGAACGAAAACGTTAGTTTTGAATATAATGTGGGGAGGGGTTGGGAGGGGAGGGGAGGGGGAAGGAGGTCGTATTGCAAATCGAACGAAAGGCGGTTGCGGGAAAATGTTTGAATTTTTATTTCTCGTTATTCGCAGGTGCATCACATGGTGCAGAGGAAACAAGAAAACAGTTTATCCCGTCCGAACAGTGCCTGTACGCCTCCAGGGCAAAGTACTTTTACTTAGTTATTTTACCGATTACATGGACAATCACTTGTCGAGCGGAGTAACAGAAGATTACAGAATCGAACCCCCTTCGAAAGCGACACCCCTTTTACGACAGTGGATGAGAAACGATAAAATAATTTTATTCGAAATGGCTGACGGACTTTTACAAATTAATTTTTTTAGAGATCATTACAAAATGATTTTGTACGAAGAAAATAAGGTTCGTAAATTAATTACACGTTTTTTTTTTTGCTCTTGCTTCTCCTGCTACTACCTCCCCGTCACCATCCTATCCTTTTTCGAAATCATCAAAAGAAATTCGAATTTTTTTTTTTGTTTGTTACAGAATGGAAAACAAATCGTTTTAGTCGTTATCGATGATGAGAAAAAAATTAAAAAATATAATTTGTCAACAATGGGGAGTAGCACAGAATGTCCGGAAGATGTATTAAGTCATTTAATGTACGTTTATACTCTCCTGTAGTCTGTCTTTTTTTTTATAATAATAATAATAATAATAATTTGAATATAAAAAAGTGACCGAAATGTTTTTTTTTTTTTGCTGTCCTTATTAAAAAACGAGTAATTAACGGTTTTTAATGACGATTTGGGAATATGTCGGATTTTAAAAGGGATGTAGTCATAACAAAAGAATTTTTTTAACTCATCTAAAACTTACGAACATGGCAACCTTGACAAATCATAGCCAGATTGTGGAAAAAGTTTATCGAGATCCAAAAATTCAAACATGGAAGGGTAGAAGATTTGATGAAAAGAAGAAACAAAAACAGGAAATCACGTTTACGACCCGCATTGTTTAAAAAATTTTATAAATAGCACCGCCACCACCCCCACCCCCACCACCGCCACTGCCACCATCACCGACATAGATTTCTATGGAAGACGAGATCTGAAAGTGATGATGATGAAGATAGTAAGGATTAAATAAGAAATTTTCTTTCTTTTTTACTTGTCCGATAAGTTTTACGTTGAAAACAACCCATCAATCACAAAGTTTCTCTTTCCTCCCCCTTCCCTACCCCCCTACACCCTCCCGGGCATGTAAAAAAACCTTTTCCGACCGACGAAAACATTTAAAAGTTTTTAAAAGGGATAAGGATAAAATAATTTAATTAAAATAACATTAAAAATAAAGTAAACAACGTTACACGTTATGATTAAGACAACGAAAAGAAGTAATTTTTGTGAAAAAGGAAGGGAAGGAAAAGATTTTCTCTCTATCTCTCCTCTCTCTCTCTTTCTCTCTCTCTTTCTCTCTCTTATTCGTGACGACGTGAAATTTTTAAAAACGTTAAAATAAATTTTAAAAACATTTTGATGATGATGATTATAAAAAAAGAAAACTCGGCAGAAAATTTTTTACGCTAAGGTCTAACAAAAAAAAAAAAAAATTTTTTTTCAACTCATTTTGCCAAAAAAAAAAAAATTTCTCTCCCGGGATGAGGAGTGGGGAGGGGAAGAAGGAGAAGGGAGGGGAGATATTTAATAACGTGGCTATCACCGAACACTTTTCCCCCGCCCTCTCTCCCCCCTTTCATTCACCTTTTCCCAAAAAATAATACATTTTAAAGACTTATTTACAAAATCTAACCTTTTTCCTAAATGAAAATTTTCCTTCAAGTTATTATTATTATTATTATTATATAAAAATTAATTTTTAGTTAAATATATATAAAACGAAAACCGTTAGGGTTTCTATAGAGATTACTTTTAAAAGAAAATTTCGAATCGAACCGTTTTTTGTTGTTGTTGTTGAGATTTTTTTTTACGAGAGCAAATAATAATAATAATAACAATTACGAAAAGAAAATCTTCACAATTCGAATAAATTGAGAAATATTTGTACGTTATAAAAAAAAAAAATAAGAAAAAAAAGGATGGTTAGCAGTAGAAAAAAAAATTTTTTGTGTGTGTGTGTGTGTGACCCGAGATTAAAGAAAATGCGGATGAAAGTTAAAACCAAGTTAAAACTTTTGGTTCAGTTATCGATTTTGCAATAAAATAATTCGGTTCTCGACCTTTTTTTTTTTTTTTTCGTTTTAACTTTGAATTGATTTCGAAAAAAAAAGAAATTTTTTTTTCTACTACAACTACTAACCATCCTTTTTTTTTTTTATAACATTTTGTCGCGGACTATACGAACGAATATAAAAAAAAATCGTTAAATTTAAATATATATCGAAAATCGTTTTGAATTTTAAATAATCTTCGTTATTATATGTAAAAGTTTTTTTTTTTTTTTTTTTAGGTTCGTTCGTAATAATTAAAACCGTAATTTTTACCCTTTTTTTTTGTTTGCTCATGAATTAAGAATAAAATGCCGGAAAAAAAAAAAAAAAAAGTTACATTTACGTCATGCAACATAATATTTTACCAACGTATTTTTCTTTACCCCCCCCCTTCCCGCCTCCCACCACGAGCAAATACGAATTTAAAGTAAAAAAAAATTTATTTTACACATTACCTTTTTCCCCCCGAAAAAAAATTTTTCCTTTTTTAAAATTTCCATTTCTTCATCGTTTTCATCCTTTTATGAAAATATGATAAATTTATTTTTTTTTTATTTCCCCAACGATTTATTATTATCCGATTCAAGATTTGTTAATACAATTGCCTGAAATAATAATAATAATAATAATAATTATGAAAATAATTTTTTTTTCGGTAAGAAAATTTGTTATGAATGAGGCGAGTTAGATTTACCATAGCTATGTATAAATGATTTTCTGATGAAGTCCACGACATGTTATTTTTATGATGGAAAACATCATCGTGTACTTCTGATTCGCTTCTCGGTAAAGAATGTAAAAATATCCAATTCGATGATGCTTCTTTTAATATCTGAAAGAAAGAAAGAGAAAATATAAAATTACTTTTATAAAATCTGGAGTTGTAAACTCTGGTATATGATTATTAAGAATGGCTGAAAAGGTAAAACATATTAAAATGGGGGCGGGGGACCAAATGAAAAACAATAAACCTCTTTGTTTAATATGAAATTAATGTCAAATACTTATTTAGTGCCTTATTCAGTAAGATAATATTTCAAATATTTGATTAAATTTTGATTAATTTACCATAAAAGATTTACCATTTAAGATAATAAGAAATAATGATCCTTTTAACAAAGAGATGAAATAGAATTTAAATTTATACCATAAATTAAAATAAGGTTAAAATAAATATCGTCTTGTGTCTCGACAAAAAGTTTGTTTTAAAAAAAATGATAATAATAATAATAAGAGAAAATTGTTTTGTATGTTTTGCCCACATAACTATAGTAATATCAAAAACTCACATCCAATGTAATTTGAGTTGCTCTTTCCGGATGTAATGTGGTAACAATTACGTTAGAATTTTTAACAGTTTCCCTAACGGAATTACGTTCTTGTATAAATTTTGATTTTAAATTTTTCTTTAGTGATTTTTTAACGGGTGACATTAGTCCAGAACCATACTGTAAATAATAATGAAATGAAAATTATATTGACAGAATTGGGAATTAAAAGTACATATTGTTGTTGTTGTGATACTCACAACGCAAATACAAAGATACTGAATTTTTATTCCAAAAAGTGGGCATAAAAGTAAATAAGAATTAAATACTGGCGTGGGTGGACCAACATATGCTATCGTTAATCCCTCGAGTTTATTAAAAATTTCTTGAAACGTCATAAAATCGCTTAATACTTTTTGAAGACTGTATATGTTACAACTGGCTGGAAATATTGGAATCGTTGTGAATTCACCAAGTTTTAATAATGACCATTGAGGTATACCGTGTACTACGAGCATGTCTGACAACTCTGATAATACTCTAAATAATAAATTAACTATATAATTAACTAAAAAAAGAAAAAGAATACTTAAAACTATACACACACACACATACATACCTTCCACAATCTGCTGGATTTGGTTGACTTTCAAAATCTCTTTCTAAATATAATGTTTTTCTAGCACCCAATATTGAACAAGCCAGTGAAAAAGCAACTTGAAATCTTCCATGAGGATGTTCGAACAATAACGTTACATGTTTATTTTTCAATAAATTTAAACAGTTTTTATTATTTTTACGTACGACTTCTTTCAAATGGAATGCCGTTGATAATAATTTTTTCCAATAGTCAGCTGAAATGGTTTCCGGCTTGATAAAATTATGCAACGTGGTTTGAGTCCTAAAATTTCTTTCAAATGAATGTTAAATGTTTTAACTACATATATAAATAAATAGATAAAATATAAAAATTATACCTTTTGTGACAATCGGCTTTGTTCAACCGCCAACTTTTTTTTACAAATGGCGTCAAATTGGAATTTTTTAATAACGACATGTCATGTAGCAAAAAAAAAAAAAAAACGATTGGTGGAAAATTATTTGATGAGAGTAGAAGAAATAATGCTAAAAATTAAAAATAATAATTTAAAATGATGAATGTAAATAATATTTAATAAAAAAATCTATCGAAATAAACGTATTTTTTAATTTGTAAAAAAAAAAAAAATTGAAAACGTTGCCTTCGACTTTTTCATATCCAATTAAAAGCTAACGGTTTTTAATACGTAAGAAAATAATTTAAAAAATAAAAAAACGGTTTTTTAAATATTTAATATTTATGACAAACCTTTTTTTTCCCCTTCTTCTTCTCCGATTAATATTAAAATAAGCCTAAATACATTAATAAATAAATAAATAAAAATGGAGCGAAAAATCGTTGTGAGTGTTGTACAAACTGCAAATGTCAGAGAAAAAGATTTTTTTTTTTTTTCGTAATTTTTAAGTTGGCAATAACGTAAAGCAGAATAAAATTTTTGACAAAAATGGTCGCCTGGAGTGCATTTCGATTAAATAATTTTGCTAAACAAACTATTATTCGTACTATATTTGGTAATTCGAAGCCAAAGTTGCTAAATAAAAGTTAGTCGTTTTATACTTGAATTATATATATAATTATTAAAAGTGTCATCACCATTATTATTTATATATATATATATATATATTTCAATTAAAATTTATTCAAATTTATCTTTACAGATATTAATTATGTCTCAGTTCGTGGAGCAGGTTCTCATAACACAATACCGATACTACCGTCTAATTTTCAATTTGCTAAATTTAAGGTAACACTGTGGTAAAAATAAATTGCCTGACAAACAATGAATTGTTGTTATTAATCATCCATACATTTACATATTTTGTAATTTATAGGATTTGGTAAATTTTTATTTTTTTCTCGGATTCATACCATTGACGTTATTCGCTTTGTACGTAAACATATTTGTAGGTCCAGCTCAATTAGTTCCCACGCCAGAGGGATACACACCAAAACATTGGGAATATTTTGAGGTTTGTTTGTTTTTAAATAATTTGACATTTTCAAAATGATACTCGAATAATTTTTTTCTGTTTTAAAAAAAAAAAAAAATTTTTTTTGTAAATTAATTTTCAATCAGCATCCGATAACGAGATTTTTAGCAGAACATGTATTGGGTTCTCCGCAAGAAGGATATGAAAGATATATGAGCAAGCTTTATTATGAAACTGAAAAGAGAACAATGAAGTAAGTTTGTTAAATAAATTCTTATTTATTATATTTTCATATTTTCAAACTAATTTAAAATTTTTTCAGAATGACTAAATCAAAAGTCAACGATTTAATGTATAAAAGACAAGATTATCAATCTTGGTATTATTATGTACCACAAAGAGAATATGATAGACTCGATAGAGAACAGAGTCTCGATTTTGAATTAAAAACACATGGAGCTGGAACCGGTATAACAATGTAAGCTTATTTTATATTTTAATAATATTTTTAATCATCATAACTTTATTAATTTTTCTCTCTCTCTCTCTCTCTTTCAGGTATTAGAAATTTTTTATCGACAAATGTCAAGAGTTATGTACCAGCATATACATATACATTTGTAGTTTTAATCGTTTAATATTATTAAATAGGAAAATTAATTTGCTATATATAATTCAATGCCTCATATTTATTTTTAAAAAATATCCTTCTCTGTTACGTTTTATATAAACTATTTGTCTGCATCTCAACCTCTCATTCAACCAATCAATCAATCAATCAATCAATGAAACACGAAACGTATTTAAAAAAAAAAAAATGCGGAAGATAATAAATATTTATATATATTTTTTTTTGTAAAATAATAATGATAATAATAATAGTATTGGCGTCTTTAAAAATTATATTTTTTAAAATTATTTAAAAAAAAAAATAATAATAATAATAAGAAAAATTAAAAATTTCACGAGTCATCACTTTAAGCACTTTGAAAAAATTATTATTATTATTATTATTTCATTTTCATTTTTGGCATAAAAAGCTTCGATAAATTATTTTTATTTATTTATTTATTTATTTTATGTATAAATTCGTGTGTCAGAAAAAAAGTAATGAGTTACGTAAAAAAATAATTTTTTTTGTAATATTCTATCTGTTAAATGTTTCCAACATTAATTCGATTTAATCGATCAAAGGATAATAATAATAATAATAATAATAATAATAATAATAATTTTTAACGGTAAAATTCATCGCAAGAGAGGAAGAGAGAAAAAAAATATTACGTACAAAAAAGGCAGAAGAAAACAACAAAAAAAAAAAAACAAAAAAAATTTTTTTTTCCACATCGTTTTCTAGTTTTATTTGCTATTAATAAGGCAAGCTTTTCACTAATTATCATTATTATTATTATTACCATTTACTTTGTTTACCTCCCTCCCCCCCCTTCACCCCCCCACCCCCCGTTAGAATTTTTTTAATTTTCTTTTTATTGCTATCGTTTATTTTTTTTGCAGAAGAAAACGAAAGAAATATATAAATTTTTCCTTTTTTGCTGTTATTAAGAGATTTAATCTCACGCATACAACATCATTCTCATAAACGTTTTCATTCAAAAAATTAACAAATAAAAAAAATCAATCAATCAATCAATCAATCAATCAATGAGCTCTATATCGAATGAAATAATTTAATGTACTAAAGGACTATTATGATATTATCCGATAATCAACTTCCTTTGAAATTTTCCTTTTTACAAATTACCAGAGAAGAAACTTACAAAAAAAAACAATAATAGTGATGATAATGATAATGATAATAATAATAATAATGCAACTATGAACGACTCATTCGCGCCTTTTCAATTCAAATCCTTTAAAAATTTCACTTTTTTGTCTCTCTCTCTCTCTCTCTCTCTTCTTTTTTATTTAAACCTGAAATTTCCCCTTTGACAAATGACGTCATTCTTATCACTATCACATACTCTTTAAAAAAAATCCACGTGGTTATTATTATTATTATTATTATCATTACTAATACTTAAAATAAAAAAAAAAAAAAAAAAAAAGAGAAAAAATTTAAAAAAAAAATTTTTTTTTTCCTTTTATTGTTATTATTATTGTTATTATTATTAATACTGAATTTGATTTCATCAAGTGTAATGTAACCTTTTCTAATTAGAAAAAAAGGAAAAAAAAGGAAAAAAAAGGAAAAAAAAAGAAAAGAAAAAGAAAAAAAAAGAAATTAAATACCTTTTCGCTTGTGTCGGCGCATCGCAACCGCACGATTTTCCTTTCTTTTCCTTTCTTTTCCTTTTTTTCCTTTGTTTTTCCTTTTTTCCATTTGTTTTGGTGGGGCCGAAAAAATTGTCGAGTTTCATATGCTTCAGTTTGCGATCGTTTTCAAAGGTCGCTCGCTCGGAAATTTTTTTTTTTTTTGGAAGAAAATGGCGGAGGGGGGGGGAAAGCGATTTTTTTTTTTAAAAGAAAAATGGCACTTGAACATTATTTTCATGCGGAGCGGGAAAAAAGAAAAATTTTGAATGGAACGGAAAAGCTCCAAGTGAAATTTTTTTTGCTCTCTTTCTTTCTTTCTTCCTCTCTCTCTCTCTTTCTCTCTCTTTTGCGTGTCTGCTGCATCTACGTGTTTGTGTTTGTGTGTGTTTGCGTGTTTGCTGCATGTGTTTGTTTATGTGTACGTATGTGTGTTGTCCTTTAGATTTTCTTTTTTTTTTTTTTTGTTTTTGTTTTTTTTTTATTTTTCTTCTTCTTCTTCTTCTTCCCATTCTCTCTTTTTTTTTTTAATCTTTACTTCTTGGATTTCCTTTTGAAAATCTTTTTTTCTTTTTTTATTTATTTTTTTTTTTTTTAATGTTTTAATTTTCTTTCTAATACTGTTCCAACGGTTTCATCTTTCGTGTGTCAGTAGAGACAGAAACGTTGCCCCATGTGTCAGTAGCAAGGTTTTCCAAAAAACTACAAAAAAAAAAAAAGAAACATACGTGCATGCTTCCCGAGTGCATTTTTTTTTTTTTTTTTTTTTGATTTTCCAGGGGGACGGAAATTTATCCACCCCCCTACCTGTTGCTGCTAAAATTTTTCTTGGAAAAAAAAAAAATTATTCGTTGCGGCTACGGGAATTATATTTTCTTTAGGATGCCACGCGGGGGGGAGTATTTTTTTGTTGAAATCTAAACAGTCTACGCTCATTTCGTCTTTTTTTCTCTTGCCGCCCGAACAAACCTGTTTCGAAAAAAAAAAAAAAAAAAAAAACCCCGATAATATCATTTAAAAAAAAAAAAAAACATTTAAACTCAACAAACAAACAAACACTCACTTTCCTAGGCTTAAGAACCATTTTAGGTTTCGCTACGTCTCTCGAGGCCTCCAAAGTTACATCACGTTTTGTTGTCCTATCTAACATGCGGAAGAAATTATTATACGATCCGGTCATGATGGCCGTATCGTTTCCGTTCCAACAACATTCAAACTTATCAAAAATGCAATCGTTTTCGTAAAGGGAACACAACTTTGACCGAAGGTATTCGTGTACCTAGAAAAAAAAGGATAACCGTCGTACAACACTACTACTACGACCACCACCACGACCACCACCACCACCGAGGGGGTAATGGTAACATTAACCGGACTCACTGGATAGTATTCTATTGGTTTCGTTTCCATGTGAAGATCCCAAACTTTAACCGATAAATAATCTCTAGATATCATATACCGCCCTGAATTTGATAATTTTACGTCTGATATACTTGAAATGATTTCTGAAAAAAAACTACGGTAGGCTGGATCCTCGGGCTCTTCGAACACTGAACACAGAAAGAGAAATAAAAAAAAAAAAATTGTAATTTATTTATCAATTTCTCTTTTTTAATTGTAGTAATTTTTTTTATTAAAAAATAAACTTACTTTTTGAATGTCTGTCGCAAAGAGCAGCGGCCCTCATATCGCATAATCTTATTGTACCTTTACTACTACTGTATACAAATAAATTACATTCTATTGGATGGAATTCAGCAGCGGTTATAACCTGACAACAAAGGAAAAAAATTAATGGTAAAATTTCTTAAAAACGATTTACGACGCAATTAAAAAAAAACTAACAAACAATAAATACAAAATTTACAATTTCACGTGGGAAAAACAAATCATTTTTTTTTTTTTTTTGTGTAAATCGAGGAAAACCTTACAACAAATCATACGGTAAAATATCATAGATAACAAACACTCACGTTTGCACAGCTGTTTAAAAAAAAAAAAAAAAAAAAAAAAAGAAAAGAAAAAAAAAGCGTAATAATCGATACGTAGACTAAACAATAAAATCGAAATGGAAAGAAAAAAAGAAAGAAAGAAAGAAAGAAATAAATAGAAAAAATCATTTTTCAATTTGTACGTACAAACGAATATTCCAAAAAGGGTACCAAAAACGCGTTTTTAACGTTGATGATGATAATAATAGTGATAACGTTAAAAAGATTTATATTTGATCAAATGTGACAAACAGACAAGACATTCTAAAGAGAAATTAATTATTTACTACATTAATAATAAGTCACGTGATAAATGAAAGCAAAAAGATTCATACAAAAGTGATTAATATATATAAGAAAACTTAACCAAATTAGTAAAAAATTTTGACAAGTATAGAAAAAAAAAAGGGGGGGGGGACTCGCAACCAACGTGAACCCTGTGACCTTATATAAAAAGTGGGACATACGAATTGCCAAAGGGTGGAAGGAGGAGGGGTAGAGACACGACAAGACGTTTGATTGACATAAATGGTACTTCGAACCTTAAATAGTAGTACGTTACTCGACTTCTCTCTCTCTCTCACTCTCTATCTCACCTCTGTAAGTTCTTCCATATTTGTTGGTTTTATATCGACAATATTAAAACTTTGATCTGTTATTTCTAAATGCCATAAATTGATTCTTAAGTCATCTGCTGAGAGATAAGTTTCTTGATCGGAATTAACACTTATTGAATTAATATGATACGTGTGAGCATTGGCAAATATTCTTCTAGGACTCGCTTCCACCTAAAAAAATAAAAATAAAAATTATTGTCATGTTTATTATCATTAACCTTCGGACGACAAAATGTCAGAAAACATTACAAAAAAAAAAAAAACCCATTCTGGAATTATTATTAATAATAATAATCGATTAACTAACTATAAATACGAGTTTTTTTTTTTTTTTTTTATTTAATGCCTCCAAGTGCATTTTCCCGTGTAATTTTTTTAATCGTTATCATTTATTTAAAAAAAAGTAATAGAATAATAATAATAATAATAATTTGCGTTTAAATTATCCGGTTTTTATGCACAGTAACCGTAGAACCAGTTTTCAAATTAACCTACGACCTACATTTATTTATTCGGTTCTTTTTTTTTTTTTAATAAATGCGCAAAATTACCACGTTCTATATAATGCAATATTAAACGATTACAAGTTGCAATCACAAGAGGAAAAAAAAAAGAAAAGTCCGCCATTACTTTACCATTAATTCCATTGGTTTGATGGTGGGCACCCTAAGAGATTTAACAAGGGCCGGATCCTTGAGACTTCCGTTATCATCTTTGGTATTGTAACCGTCGACTCTTTTGTCTCTTTCGGACACTTTCCATAGCTTAATCGTTTTATCGTTTGTCGAGAGGAGGAAGTGAGCTTGGTTTTTCCGTTTGAGCCAACGTATTTTATTGATTTTTTCTTCTATCTCTAACGATTTTAAATAATCGAATTCCGGTTCGTGAGATTGAAAAGTCGAGTAAACGTTGTATTCTCCCCGACGCGGTATGGATGTTTTACTAAGGGGATCTCTTTGGAATATGACCACACGACCTCCTTTGTCCCCCGTGGCCAACAATTCCCCGTCGTGATTAAATTCTACACATGAGATAATGTCGGCTGTGGACAAAAAAAAAACAAACGAAAAAAATTAATAAAACCGTAAGGAAAACAAACAAAACATTTTAAAAAAACCCAACGAGAAACAAAGAACCAAGCCAAGAACAATTGCAACAGCAATTTCAAACCCACAAATAATACTAATAATAATAATAATAAAACAAACAAACGACGTTAAAAGCAACGCGAATCGGGTAATTTAAAACCTTGATAAACTAATATTTAGATATCAACTGATACTAGCTACGACTAATGCCAAAAGATTTTCCGATTAAAACCTTTATTTACATTTTGACTTTTCATTTATTTATTTTTTGGGGGAAAACAAAAAAAAAAAAAAAAAAAAAAAAAAAAAAAAAAAAATGTCGCCTTATACCATTTGAAAATTTACAACTCTCGTTATAAAACTCCAACTAATAAAATAATAATAATAATAATAATAAAATTTCCGGAAAACCGAAATGATGATGATGATACAAACAACAACAACAAAAAAAGTATTATCATCGTCCAATGTAATAATAATTACCCCCATCTTTTTTTTTTTTCTTTTTTTTCCTTTTTGTGGGTCTTCAACTTAATTAAAATGATAATTAAGGGCTTTAACGCGCTCATACAACTCACAAAAATATCATAAATAATAATAATAATAATAATAATAATAATAATAATAATAATAATAATAATAATAATTTATTAAAAACCTTATTAGGAAATTTTTTTAAAAATTCATCCTCGATCGCAAATGTTCATTTTTTAAATTACAGAAATCAACGCTAAACATGTTGCGAGTACCTATAATTAACTATTTAATTACAGAAAATCATAGTAAAATAATAATAATAATGATAATAATAAACAATATACTCGTCTAAATTTATATATATATTTTTTTTACGTTCATAAACGATTATTTAAAAGCGTTTCGTTTATTTAAATGATTATTAGAAGAAGGAGCAATTTTCCTTTTTTTTTTTTTTTTTTTCTTTTCTTTTATTTCTCGGACGTGATTAACACTTTAATATTACATTTAAAAGCATTAACAATAAAATGTCGTGCGTGGATGATTGAATAGAGAGAGAGAGAATACACGAAGTGTAAAATAATTAATAGTTTTCTGCTACATGCTGTGTGTGTGTGTTATTGCTAAAACATATAAAATTTAAATTTTGTTGTTTTCGTTGTTTCTCTCTTTCTCTCTCTCTCTCTCTCTCGCCATTTTCTACTAATTTCTAAAAGATTGATTAGTTTCTATTTGAATATTTCTTTTTCTTATTTTTTTTCCTGCAAATAATTTTATTACATAATCGTTAATAGGTCGAACAACAATTTTCTTGTTAAACAAAAAAAAAATCACAAACAATTTTCGAAAAGGGGGTTAGGAGAGAGAGAGAGAGAGAGAGAGAAAGGGGGGGGGAAAGGGAGTCGATAAAATTCGCAATGTCGATTACAACAATGGCAGCTGCATTTTACCAAAAAAACTTATTTAACATTACAAAAATAAAAAAAAATTGTGTTGACCCGTGCTAAAATAAGACGATTCTTAATACAATAATAACAATAATAATAATAATAATAATAATAATAATAATAATAATAATAATAATAATAATAATAATAATAGAATTATCGAACGACGTTCTAACGCGAACTCATTTCACGTTCACGCCATCTAATTTAAATGTTTTGACCGAAAAAAAAAAAAATTTTCTTTTTTTAAAATAAATAATCATTTTATAAAATTTCAGCCCTGACAATGACCGAAAAAAAAAATTTCGCGTATATATATATATATTAATAATAATATTTCCCACACGTTTTTTCTCTTTTTTCGACGTAGTAAATACAAAGTTTTCATCGCACACACAAACATACTGAAATAAAAAAAAAAAAAAAAAAAAAAAAAAAAAAGAAAATTTCATTAAGACAGTTTTTACGATGGGTTAAATTATAAACAAAGTCGTGGGGGGGGAGGGATGGTTTATATATAAATTGACCACCACATCGTAAACTTTTATCAATCATTATTATTCTCTTAAGAGAATTTTCAATTCGTTTTCGCTTTTCCAAAAGGTTTATACTGACGAGAGAGAGAGAGAGAGAGAGAGAGAGAAGAAAAACAAAAACAAAAAAAAATCCGTTACATAGTGTGTGTGTGTGTGTGTCGTTCGACGAATAAAACACCTTAAATTAAACATAAGCTCAACATGAATATAAGTATATATATATATATATATATATATATAAATACGCACACACACGCACACGCACGCATATAAATATATATATATATGTGCGTAAAATGACCCCTTTATGGGTCATTCCACTGCCGTGTAGAGAGTTATTTAAAAAAAACCTCAAGGAGGATCAATGGTACCGAAATGGTACATCTGTCAGTACAAATACTTAGACTAGCAGTAGTGCGTGCGTGTGCGTGTGCGTGTTTTTTTTTTTCAAATCTTTTTATTAATGGAACCAAACCTACGCATTACGCATAAAAAATCATTAGGGCACTTGAAAATCAGACACACAGTACACACAAAAGCAAAAAAATCATTTTAAAAACTCTTTTTTTTCTTTTTGGCATCGTAATTGCATTGCTTTTAACACGAACCTTGAATTTATTTCTTTTTTTTTTTTGTTATTAGAAACAAATTTAAACGACTTAATAATTATTTTACACGTTTTTATTATTATTAATATTATTATTGTTAACCATTACTATTATTATTATTTTAAAAAAAAAACCTCAAAATTGTTTAACATTGTAACAAATTTTTTTTTTTTTTTTTTTTTGGTGTTTGCTGTTTGTTGCTAATTTTTTTTCTTTTTTTTTTTTAATGCGTGCTTTTTTTTAAAAAGAAAAATTATTAATCGATAAGAAAAATAAATAAATAAGTAAATAAATAAATAAATAAATAAATTTTCATTTTTTTTTTCACCTAATAAATCATAATATTATTATTAAATTCGAATTCGTTTAAAATGAATTTTTTTTTTTAAATCCGAAATTTAAAATTCGAACCGAATTTATTTGTTTATAAATGACAATCAATGAAAAACGTATGAATTATTAATAATTATTAAAATCTTATTTATTTAGCGTGATTTATTTAGCATGCATGCATGCATCTTAATAGCATAAATAATTATTATTAGCATAAACGCCACAGACACATTTGTCCTTTTTTTTCGCACAAAATTTAAAAATTTCGACATTTTTTATTCAGATACCGAATCCGTTAAATTCCACTCAAATACGTTAATATATACATAAGCACACGCACACGCACACGCACACGCACACCTTGTATAAACGTTGATGCAATGCCAACGTTCTCCAACGTTAAATAATAATAATAATAATAAATTAAATTTTATTGATGATCGATTATTGGAAATTTTTTTTTTTTTTTTTTTTTTTTTTTTATGATAATGTAAAATTTTTCTTTATTGAGAGAGAGAGAGAGAGAGAGAGAGAGAGGGGGGGGGAATAAAAAGATTTCAATAATTGATTTATAGTATTTGTTGTACAATCCGTCATAAACATGCATAAAATTTGTTTTTTTTTTTTCTGCGTCATCGACAACACATACATACATACATACATACATACGTACAACTCATAAATTTTAATAATAATAGAGAGAGAGAAAGAGAGAGAGAGAGAGAGAAAAAAATTGATAAATAATTTATCGAATTCGTCGTCATTTAAATTAAGTTCACGGGGAACCTTATTATTATTCGTTCAATTTATTTATTTATTTATTTTTTTAAAATAATTTTTACTACGTACAGGTTCGACCGAACGGTGTATAAAAAAAAAAAAAAAACGCTTTTCATCATTATTAACATCACAACTCGTTTTAAAACACGAACAAACATTTAATTAATTTTTTTAAAATAACAACTCGCGTTTGCAATGCAAAATACAAATCGATTCCCTTTTGATATAATAAAGTTTTTTTTTTAATAAATAAATAAATAAATAAATATAAATATATAAATTTTTCAATAAATAATTATATGATTGTGAAGGAAAATCAATGTCACGACACGCATAAAACTGTTAATACCAACCACATTATTGTGTTTGTCCGTATAAAAAAAAAAAAAAAAAAATACATAAAAAATCTATTTTCGATTTGTATATTTATTTATTTATTTATTTATTTATTTCTACTTTATAGCATCATGCATTTTTAAAATGAAAACAAATGTTTTGCAATTGATAAATTAGCAACCCATTAAACATAAACACAGATAAATCGTCTTATCATATATTAAAATAAAAAAATAAAAAAAAAAAATGGCAAAAAATTTTGTATGTTTAACTTTTGAGACTTGAATTTTTCCTTTTTTCCTTTTTTTTTTTTTTTTTTTTAAAAAAAAATATTTTCCTAAAACAAGATGAATTTAATTTTCTTTTCCCTCTCTCTCCCTCCCTCCCTCCCAGCCTCTCTCTCTGTATCATTAAACCTCTTACCCCTCTTCCAACACTTAAAAATGTACAAAATTTTTTTGGTTGAATTATTGTATAAATTTAAATTATTAAATAAACATAAACATAAAAAAAAAAAACAAACAAACAAACACAACCTAAATGAAAATGATCAAAATTTGCATCCAAGTTGTCCATTTATAAAAAAAAAAAAAAAAAAAGTTTTCCTCTCTTAACGTTTTGAGAATAAATTAAAATAAATTAATGATTAAAATAAAATTAACAACAACAACAACAACAACAAACGAATATTAAATAATAATAATAATAATAAATTTAAAAAAAAATAAAAATAAATGAGAGGTCACTTTTATACATTAACATACAATTCCCGATCGGTAGTAAAAAACAATCGTAACTAATAACAAATAAGTTGGAATACCTAATATCCTCCTCTCAAATCAAATGTGATGATGGCCAAAGATTAAACAACAACAACAAAAAAAATTTACTTATATTTAAAAAAACTCACCTTCAGGAACGTCATTGTTTAGAGTTCCTTTTACTTGAGAGAAGCACCATTGTATATCACCATTACCTGGAACACACACAAAAAAAAAAAACCTTAAAAAAAATGGAGAAAACAAAAAAAAAAATAAATATATATAACCGAGAATTACATTAACGACAAGAAGTGAATCCCCATAACAAGTTTATTACAAGTTCAAACAAAAAAAAAATTTGAAAAGATAAATAAATAAATAAATCCAAAAAAAAAAAAAGGGGGGGGAGGTTGGGTGGGAAATTTTTTAAACATCTCCCTAAATCAAAATTTATTATTCAAAAATCATCCCAAGGTAACAAAAAGAAAAAATAGGTTTTCGACATTAATTTTTGTCATTTTTTTTTTTTGTTTTCCCCCCCAATGTGGAAATTTTAATAACGAATATAAAAATTTTTATTTTTGAGACTTTTTTATGCATTTTGTATAATTATAAAATTTCTTACAATAACAACAACAACAACCATGTTTTTTTTTTATTGTTTGTTTCGAGCAATCGACAAACATTTATTTTAATTTTTAAATAGACACATTCGAAACTTATGATTTGACAAATCAAAAAAATTTGTTTGGGAAATTACTATGAAAGTGATTAATAAAAAAAAAAAAAAAAAAAAAAAAAGAAATTAACATGAAAGCATTTAAATTTAACAAAATGTAACAATCTGTTGTTCTTCGCTATCAAAATCGAAGGTAAATAATTAGGTAAAACATGCTAATTGAGCATAACTAATAAGAAGGAGGCTATCATCATTTTCAATACTATTAATCATAAATACCAAACAATATTTTCAATAGAAGCTTAAAGGAAAATTAAAAAAAAAAAAGCAAGTTTTTTGTCGAATGTCGAAAACATTATTAGTTTCAAATTTTTTTTTTTTTTTTTTTATACAGTACCAATAATCTAGTCGATGAATTCTCTCTAATTGTTTTTAATTTACTAAAATATTCATTTTGAAATCATTCATTAATGTTTTCATACAGACATGTGACTATAATTTATGTATTTAAAAAAGAATATAATATAGGCTACATAACCTTGATTAGAAAAACATGATTGGTAAGAAAAATCATTTAATAATTTTCTCTTTTTTTTTTTCCAGATTTAAATGAAAGTATATGTTTATAGGCAACAATAATTATAGTAATTATTATTATTATAACTGACTAATTAATAAATAACCACAAATCGACTAAACTTAATAATTAAAATTAATTTAAAAATAGACTTAATAATTTTTCCCAGTTAAGACTTATAAAGTTGGTTTCGTTTATGATGCTACCAATAAAATTGAATTATTAATATCAGGTCAAAATTCTTACTTTTAAAATTAAGATCCTGTACATTATCAAATGCCTGAATCAAGGAAACACACAATGTCTAGAAAGTTGTATCACTTGTCAAAAATTTAACTATAATATTTATTTTGAGTACTTAAAATGTCTACACCAATAAATAAATGACACTACCTGAATGACCTAATTTCAAATGACTGGTACCAATATCATAATTGATTCAACATAACATTAATAAATTCAATTTATAATTAAATTTGTACTTTCAATTAAAAGAAAGCATAATAAAAACCAATAATAGTAAAACTATAAAATATTATTAACAGCGTCACCTGTTCGACAAGTGTCAATATGGAAAAAACAACATCAGGAGTACAAAAAAAAAAAACTTCCATAAGCAAAGTAGAGAAAATGAAAAACGACCGCTTTGCTAACGCATCAAAAATTTGAAATGACCGCATGGGGGCCTAAATTAAATTAACACTAGGTAATTATAAATGTAAATCATATATATTCAAATAGTAAACAACTTTAAATTTTTCCGTACGACTTTCTAAGCTTATAATAATTTAACCAATCATTTTAAAACGTAAAATTCGGCTAAATAAGGTCGTTTTAAAGGCATAAATAAAATGTTAGATAACAAAACCCGCTTACGAAGTGGTACTTACTCGTCATATTTAATCAAATTAACAATTACTTTTAAATACAATTCAAAATAGGTATTAAATTACAAAATAACATCTATTCACTATTTCAACAAGTCATACTTCATTTTAGTTTAGAATAATTCTTCACAAAATGTAATGGCGGCCCATTCACACGAACACAACAACCAGTTTTCATTCCGCGTGACGTCATCGTGCATTTGCATCTGCCGCTATCTATCTGAAGCTGATCACAGCCTTCTAGATCACAATTTTATATATATTTATAATGTCGAAGGACATTTTGATGAAACTAGTAGATTTAAAACTTTTTTTTTTTTAAATAAGTTTGTATCGTTATATCATTTAATTCATCATTTAAATAATTAATAAATCTTTAAATTTTAAAATTCGTTAATAATAAAACAATTGTAAATCATAATATATTTAAAAAAATTAATCAATGTTAATAAGAATATGGAGATGGTAAAAAAAAACAATCAAAATGTACAGTTTCAATTTGCATTAAAAGTAATTATTATTAAAATCAAATAATGAAGAGAGAGATAGATTAAAAATCGTGTCAGAAAACTCAAGTTTGACTTTTAAATTAGTAATGTTTTTTTTTTTTTTTGTATTTGTTTTTGAAGTATTTACTAACGAGTAAAATAATTACAAGGCAGACTTACAAAAAAAACCAGTAAGAGATATAAATTTTGTAATTATTATTATTATTATTATTAATTTATCAAGTTGAATGCATACTTTTTTTTTGTCTCCCTTGTAAAAAAAAATAAAAATAAATAATTACTTACCTTGTTGTTTTTTGCCATTTATCATTCCCCCTAATCTATTCAAACTAGATTGTCTAATCATAGCAATTGATTTGACCATGGATGCAGCTGCTGATCGAGATCTTCCAATTCTTGGAAAAGTATTACTCCTTTTATCGTACAGTTTAACTCCTGTAGGGGCTTGGGGGACTTGAATTGAAGAAGGTACCCCCAGAGGCCCCGCAATTCCAGCGTGGCGAATTTTACCGTCGATTTAAAATCCCTAATGTTATTATCTTTAATAAATAACCACAATTAAATTATGTAATTATGCTTTCATCTTTTACATAAATTTATTTTCTTTAACTTTATATGGTAAACAACCATAGTTTTAAATTACCTGCATCACATTTTCAATATTATTATTATTATTATTATTAATAAGCTGACATTTAAT